ATCCCGGTGCTGGGAGGCATATTACCCTTTTACTATATAGGATAGAGGCCTGGTGCACGGGTGGGGGCTGGCTGGTTTGCCCTGAAGGGTGTCCTGGATCAGGGTGGGGGTCCCCACTGGGGTGCCTGGCCAGTCTGGGTGAGGGGCTGAGGGCCGTTTTCAGGCTGGCGGGTGACTGAAGCTCCCAACCTGTCCTTTTTTTCTTTTTTTTAATTTATTCTGGGCCAGCTTTAGCTCTGAGGCTCGGCTCCAGCTATGAGGCTTCTGCTGCTAAAAGCAGGTTTCTGGCCTTTGTTTACCTTCTGTATTTGAAACAATGTTGCGATCCTGCTGGCTGAAGCCCGGCTGACTAAAGCAGGTTTCTGGGGTTTGGTTTAGCTTCTATATTTGTAACAATGTTTCAAACTGCAAGCTCAGAGGCCGGCAGCAGCAGGCAGGGAACCTGGCTTCCTCCGTCACTGGAGCAAGCAAGCCTCCCTGTTCGCGTCAGCTGCCTGGCTGCCGGCCGCCATCTTGGCTGGCAGTTAATTTGCATAAGGATATGCTGATTAGCCAATGGGAAGGGAATCGGAGGTACGGCTAATTACCATGTTTCTCTTTTATTAGATAGGAATATACATACAGTGCAATTTCCAGAGGCTGCATGGGGGAGGCGGATAATGACCCCCAACACGTCCAGGCCCTGATCCCCGGAACCTGTGAGCATGTCACCTTTCATGCCAAAAGGGCCTTCACAGGTGGAATGATGTTAAAGGACCTGAGATGGGAGATCATGCTGGGCCTTCAGGTAGGAGGGAGGCAGAGGGTCAGAGGAGAGGGGACAACAGAGCAGAGGTCAGAGGGTCGTGGGGCCCAGGGCTAAGGATGCAGCACTTCTACAAGCTGGGAAAGGCCAGAAACGGGGTCTCCCAGAGCCCCAGGAGGAAGGCGGCCCTGCCAGCCTGTTTGGGACCTGTGAGAACCACGGGAGAATCAGGCTGTGTTGCTTTAAGTCACTGAGTCTGTAGTGACTGTCACAGCAGCAGCCGTGACCAGGACCCGGCTCGATGGGGCTGCCACAGCAAATCCAAAGCACAGTGTGAGGTGCACCTTTCTTCCATCGTGCCAGACATTAGAGAGATTAGCCAAACTGTGAAACACTGTCACTCTTCTAATTTTTAAAAAGTATTTTTCGCCTAGCCGGTGTGGCACAGTGACTGAGGGTCGACTTATGAACCAGGAGGCTGTGGTTCAATTCAGGTTGTGGGCTCAATCCCCAGTGTGGGGTGTGCAGGAGGCGGATAATCAATGATTCTCTCTCATCACTGATGTTTCTATCTCCCTCTCCCTTCCTCTCTGAAATTAAAAAAAAAAAAAAAAAAAGTCTGAGCCTCAGGCCTCAGTCTGAGTCTCTCTTTTTTTTTTTTAAAATATATTTTATTGATTTTTTCACAGAGAGGAAGGGAGAGGGATAGAGAGTTAGAAACATTGATGAGAGAGAAGCATCAATCAGCTGCCTCCTGCACACTCCCCACTGGGGATGTGCTCGCAACCAAGGTACATGCCCTTGACTGGAATCGAACCTGGGACTTTTCAGTCCACAGGCTGATGCTCTATCCACTGAGCCAAACCAGTCAGGGCCAGTCTGAGTCTCTTACCAAGATTTAAAAATTAAATAAAAAAAATTTTTAAGTTTCCATTTTCATTGCTCACACAGTATCCAGAGACATAACTCACATAAACCACCTTTAGCCAGATTTAACGTAAAGGGTCCTGAAGCCACAAAGATTGAGAACTCCAGCGCTAAACAAACAAATGCCATTTACAAACTCTCCATCTCCCAGGGCAGGTGTGTGTGTGGGTCGGGGAGGCCGGGGACGCGCCAGGAGGGCAGTCAGCATGGGTGAGAGGAGAGGGGCCACCTGGCCTGCTCCCTGCGCAGCCCGTCCACGTTTGTGATCACAGAGGGACGAGGACACTAGGCTGTTCACACCACCTGTGCCCCACGCCCATGTGAGGACACAGAACACCTGATCACATCCACAGCATGAAGCATGAATGCTAAAAAGCCTGGAGCAACTGCTGGAAACACCACCACAACGTAGGCTGGCCTAACAAACCTGGGGTCCTCGTTAGCCACTAACAAAGGCCACGGAGAACTTGTGGACACACTATCACATCCATCAAACGTTTCTCCATAAACCAAGATTACTGCTGCCCAGGGAAAACCCTGGGAACAAACCTAGGAGTAGGTGACACGTGGACCATGCTCGCAGATCATTAAAAACGTCTCCATGGCCCTAGCTGGTTTGGTTCAGTGGATAGAGCGTCGGCCTGCAGACCTAAGATCCCCAGGTTCGATTCCGGTCAATGGCACGTACCTTGGTTGCAAGCCCAATCCCCAGTCCTGGTTGGGGCGCGTGCGGGAGGCAACCAATCCACATGTCTCTCTCAGATCGATGTTTCTCTCACTCTCTCTCTCCTTCCCTTCCACTCTCTCTAATAATCAACAGAAAAATATCCTTGGGTGAGGATTAACAAAAAACCACATCTCCACGGTTAATACACTTGTTTTCACTTTTACACAGCATACGGGCTGGGAAAGGATGAAAGGTCTTCAGAAAATGCCAGAAGGGTTGGGCGGAAGCCCCCTGCCTGTGAGGCCCTGGGAAGTCTCTGGAAGTGTCCCCAGATGCCAACGTGCAAGGGCCCTGGGCAGACGGCCTCTGGGGGCAGACCTCACCCGTCCTCGGTGTCCTGCCCATAAGCTCACCTGTGTTGGCGTCTGCACTGAACTCCAGGCGGAGCTCCCCCTGCTGCGCTGCCCTACTCTGTTCCTCCAGGATCTGGTCAATGACGTCCAATCCAGAGGCCACATCGTGGGGCGTCAGATCAAAGGACGCCGACTCCTCGCACATCTTCTCCTGAGAGGCCAAGCACGCAGTGTGACGTGAGCAGGAGCTGGGCCTGGGGAGCTCCAGGAGGCAGGGCCTGGGGGTGCAGAGCTAAGGAGAGTGGGGAGCCCAGCCCTACCCACAGGCTCTGAAGCTGGGTCACAAACATCCCACGATAGCAGCCTAGCCCAGCCAGCAGCCTACCCACTCAGCAGCCGAACCCACTCAGCAACATAACCCACTCAGCAGCCTACCCACTCAGCAGCCTAGCCCAGACCAGTGTTTGAAGCCACTTCGAGCAGCCAACACTTCATAAATGCAAATTTCCCATTAAAATCTAGATTTCTGGCTGCTCTCAAAGTCAGATCTGGTCCATGGGCAGGAAGTGCCTGGAGCTGAGTGGGGCTGAGGGCTGCCACCCACACTGGATACCAAGCCGTCGTGGAGACGCCCCCGCTCCAGAGCATGAACACGGCTGCCTAGCAGCCTCCCTCCCGGGCCTGGTCAAGGCCACTGCTCCTGGGAACACAGGCCCTGGCAGAGGCCACATGCTGACTGGGGGCGCAGGTGACAGGTCTGCTTGGTCCTGACATTCAGGGCCACAGGGGCTGGGACACAAAGGTCTATACTGGTCTCTGCGGGGGAAGAGGCAGAGGGAGGGAGGGAGGGAGGGAGGG